CACCACGCAGGACTAACTTGCATGTACCGATCCCTTCAACATCAACTTTATTGTTGTTGCCTACATATATCCACTTTTCTCCACATGGAACTCGCCGAAATTCAACAAAAGGCACTGCATTTCCAAGCTATGAAGTTCGTTGCTCCTGAGTCTACAATCCACAAAGGATTAGATTCAGTTAGAAAAATAAAACTAGAAACACAAAGTTCACTAATTCGAGCATCGTGAAATACCTTTCTAGGAGGCTCAGAGCAATCTCTAGCATAGTGACCCTTCTTGTCACAATTATAGCATTTCACTTTAGCAACTTTCACACGTTTGGGACGTTTGTTCTTGCCGTTTTCAGTCTTTGCTCTTTTAGCAAGTTGAACTTGAGGTGGCCCTCTCTTCTTTCCCCAAATTCCTTTTCTTTGAATCACTCTTGGTTTTGGAGGTTGTTGCCATGCGCAACTTAGCTATTGGCTTTGCAGCCTCAAGTCATTCCTCTTTTAACTCAAGGTATCTCCGGACATCTTCCAGAGTTGTGATTCACTCATTATGGGTCAAATGCATTTTTATATTATCCCAAGAACTAGGTAAAGAGCGTATGACAGCTTGGATTTGTTGTTCATCAGTCAACACATGACCAACATCTTTCAACTCCCCAGTCATATTTGTCATTTGCCTCAGATGTGTTTTCATTGAATGTTCTGGGCGTTCTTATATGAGTCAAATTTGATCGTTAAGGATCTCAACCTTACGGTGGAACAGGTACCAAACCTTTTCCTCAAAGCATTCCAAAGATCCATAGCTCTTTGGTGATCTTTAAACTCCCTTAGAATGTCATCATCTAAGGTGCTCAACAACTTAATGCGAGCAATGAGGTTCTTTTTCTTCCAACTGTCATAGGCTTCACGCTCACGCCTATGCTAGGTAGTGTTGCCTTCCTCAGGCTCATTCATGACATTGTTGATGGCCTCCAGAGCCTCTTGCTCCTCTAGCACATACTGGATTTTCAAGCTCCAGGTTTCATAATTGTCACCATTGAGTTTCAACCCTTTGTTAAGCTCAACAACAATATTTTTCGAAGCAGTAGTTATTTTTTACCAAAATAAAAAATAAAATGAGGATCATGAAAAAAAATAACGCAAGGCACGGTGTTCTACATACATACATACATATTATGACACTAAGCATTAATTAATTAGGTTAATAAACACATATATTAATTATAGAATCGAAAGTTCACTATGTTCCCAATCATCGTCCAAGAATTAAAATATCATGAAAATTAACCTATTCAATTATCTAGCTAAGCGTCTTAATCATGCTTAAGACAACATAATTATCTATCATGATTTTACAATTCCATGTGAATTATAAGTTAACAAATAACTTCAATTAGCATGTAAATAAAGTTAATGTCAAACTAATTAACATTCATTACATGCTATACAAATTCACATAAAATTTACTTTAATGTTAAACTAATTAACATATTATACATGTTAAATAAATTAACAAGTATTGTTAATATTAAACTAATTAATATTGATTTCATGCTAAATAAATTAACATAAAGCATGTGTTAAACTAATTAACAAATAATGTTAAAAATAGATAACATTCTAAGCATGTTAAACAAATTAACATTCCAAGCAATTGGGGTAATAAAATAATTATAGTTTTCATAAAAGAATATAAATACTAAATTTATATTTTGAAAAGTAAGTCCATATGACTAATTTTTGAAATTTGAAATTTATCAAAAAAAAAAAAAACCTACTGTAGATTTTAATTTAGGTCATTAGCTCAATTAATATTATGCTAGACATAAACTGGGCCTTTAGTCCATAAAAATTTCTGCCAACAAAAAAAAATAAATTGCAAGCCAACTTGAAGTGGTCCTTTAGCCCAGTTAATTAAGTCTGTCCATTAAATCAATTATAGTCTATACCCGCTTTTTGTGTCACATTTTAACTTATGCCCGCTTTGCAAAAAAAATTGCAAGTGTACCCGCTTTTTCGCATAACTTCAGCACACGGGGCTGAAGTAGCAAAGACAATCACGCAAAACTTCAGCATTCTAGTAGCCGGGCCTGAAGTTCAGCTCTAGAGCTGAAGTTTTTGTGTTGTAACTGGCTTTTTGTCTATAAACTTCAGCTCTAGAGCTGAAGTACATTGTTCTTGTGGCAGCAACACCATTTTGAATTTTAGAGCTGTTACAGATAATGTGACATTTATGGCGATTTACTTCGTGTGCAGGTGTGAGGGGAAAACTAACGTTTCATTCCCATTGATGACAAAGAAGAAAAAGACACCAAAATGAAGTTATATTAAAAAATGACAAATTAAACATGCTTCATTTAATTAGGGAACTTTGTCTCTCTCTTTCTTCGTTTTTTTTTTTTAAAATCTCTTATATTTCCTTGTTCTTTCAACGGATATTGTAAGTGAGTTTGTAGGAGAGTTTTGAGTTTCTAATATATTGAAGTCAATGTTTATTCAATAATTGAGATAGTGACCTTTTTCTCTCTAGTCCGGTGATGGCAATGGAGAAGGAGGAGGAGAAAGAGGGCAGGTGATGGTGATGGAGAAGGAGGAGGAGAAAGGTGGCTGAAATTATTTAAGAAGTGAGTATAAGTTAAAAGTTTTAAGAAAAATGGGTATAGATTAAATGAGGGCGACCAAATAGAATGCCCATGCATTTTTTACATTATAGAGGCTAGACACTTTTTGTTTTAAAAAAACAAAAATTAAACGAAATGGGCATAAGCCCAAATATTCAGTCCATATGTAGAACGAATAAGTCCAGGTGGATTTAATGCTTCTGAAGCCCAAACATAAGCATCTGATCATACCCACATATGTATTCTTCTAATAAACCTCCTTTATTTTATTTTTTAATTATAATACAAAAGTTCTGAATAAAAACCCTAGTTCTCTTTCCTCTTCTTCTCTCTTAAGTTTAGCCGTCGCCGCTACCATTGAAAGAAATACACCAGTTTCTCTTCCTTTCTACTGCCGTGGTCATGAAGCACCAAGCTTCAAACTTTCCGATTTTCAGAGAACGGATTACAGCCATTTGGATCGTTTTCGATCAGGCGTTTTGAGGCGGCAACACCTATAGCGGCAGCGAATCTCAGAAGACTATGGGAACTTTAGTTACTGATCGAGAATATAGAAAAACTGATTTTCTTCTCCTTTTTTTTTTGGATCAATTTCGAAAAATTGATTTAAAAATTATCAGATTAAGCTTGAACAAACATTGATTCAAAACTTTGGTCCAAATCAATATAGAAAATTGTTGTCAATTACATACAAAATATTAATAAAATATTCATAGATCTAAATTCGACTTACGTGAATATTTTCTTCAATTCTAGAAACTGATTTCTATTTGAAAAAAATGTCATTCAAAAGTTGAATAGATTAACCACTTCTAATTGCACAGAAAATTCAAAATAAATAAACACATAGTTCCAGATTCACGTAGAAAAGAAATAGAACTATTGAATCAATTTTTCGGACCGGAAAACCAGGTTTTCGGATAAACCGTGGTTGAAATTACCAGTCGGCGGTCACACCCCCTATTCCACATTAAGTGTACTTACTGCAGAGTCTCTTTAATGTACACATTAATTGTTCTTATATACGGAATATTAAAGTTGGACCCAATTTTTCTAAAATAATGGTATATACCAATGGATGAATCCGTGAGGTTTAATGGGCCAAAGCAAACAATTTCTTGCTTGAAAGCCACAACTTCTCCATTTCTCTCTTCTTCTTTTTTTCCCCTAAAAAGGGCCAAATATATCAATATACTATTAAAAATAGTTTAAATATACTTTTTGTTTGAGTGTTCGTTCAATTATGCCCCTCCTGTTGTACTAAAATCGGAAGGGCATAATTGAACGAATACTCAAATGAAGGATGTATTTAAACCATTTCGCATAGTACATATATATATTTGCCCTTTTTAAAAAAAATATTAAACATATGTATAGGAACTTTAGAATTCAATGTCTTTGAGTGTTAGGAGGGGAAGTTCTTACATAAAATGAAGCTAGATTTCTTTTAGGATATTTTCCAGCTCTACACTGAATCTTTATTATTTATGTAGCTGAACAACGAAGAATGTACGATAAATAAAATTAGATTGCCTCAGATAAAGAATTACTTTTCATTCCTTGAACGGATACTCAAATGGAGGTATATTTAAACTATTTTCGACATTACAAAGATATATTTGCCTTTTTAGATTTTTTTTTTTTTTTTTAAAAAAAGTTTTAGTATTAAACATATGTATAGGAACTGTTGAGTACAATTTGTCTTCGAGTTTAGGAGGGGGAAGTTCTTAGTTAAAATGCAGCTAGATTTCTTTTAGGATATTGTTCGGCTCACTGGATCTTTATAATTTACGTAGCTGAACACTGAAGAATGTATGATAAATAAAATTAGTTTGCCTCAAATAAAGAATTACTGTTAATGCATTTTTTCAGAAAGGATGTTGGACCAATTAATAGTAGTAAATTCTGCAAGTTGATGTACAGATTTAGTGCTTGGCTTAGTATGACTTATAGCCTATTTTGCCAAGTTTTTTTTGTTGGGCTAAAAATATATATATCTATTTTTTGCCAAAAGTGTTTTTTTTTCAAAAATTGAGGTGTTTGGCCAAATATTTAGAAGGAAAAAAATGCTTTTGAGGAGAAACAGAAACAATTTTTGAGAACAAAAAAAAAATAGTTTCTCTCTAAAAATACTTTTGAGAAAAATATACTTAGAAGCAGATTTTAAAAGCTTAGCCAAACACTAATTACTGCTCAAAAGTACTTTTCAAATTAATTATCCAAACATAAATTGCTTCTTACAAAAATACTTTTTTGAGAAGTACTTTGGAAAATGCATTTCTCAAAATAAGTTGATTTTAAAAGCTTGGCCAAACAGGCTATTATTGTCTGGCTTTCAGTTGTAAATTGCAACTTTCCCCTGTTCTCCACTGGATTTGTCAAACAATACAAGTGAATCTCAAAGAAGAAGACACTTACTTCACTTAGAATTTTCAAAGAGATGTAAATCGTTGATCCCATGGTATTTGTACAGTATCTATGAACTAGACAGAATTATTTCCACCATAAATAGATGGAACAACTGTATGAACGTTCTATCTGTGCAGTTTCTTGTCCACTATTATTGATTGTTATGTGTTGTATCTTTGTAGTTGCTGAATATAGTCTGGGTTTGTGGTGTCGAATCTCTGGCTTTGTGGATTTTCTGCATAAGCAACATATTACGGAGAAATGCTAGCTTGTGCTGGTGCCATAGTCACCCTAGTCTGTAATAGTTTCATGGAAACATGGAATTAGATTCAAAGGAGAATTTCCTTAATGTAAAACATGAACTCTCGAGTTTCCAACTTAAAAATGCACTTGTACATTTTGTTCTAGGGACATGCATTTTAGTGTATAATCATTGTGTTTTAGGCATATCAAAGTTGTACATCACACGTTGGATATTTTTTTTAAAAAAAAGTACTGCTTTTGTTTTCGTTTAGAAATTTGGCCTCAAATGGAATCAAAGTTCAATACCATTGATAAACATCACAAATAGCTAGGTAAGTCACAGGTTATAATTCTTTACCATGAGATATCCGATCAAGAATGCATATATTGACAGTTCCGTTGCATAACTCTTGTGGATTATAAATGCCCAGGAGCCTCCTAGTAGCGTGCAAATCGCTCCTCCTGCCACTCCATAGAAAAAACAAACTGAACTAGTTAGATCAGAATTAATCAGCTGTTCTATCCCAACTCTTCTAAATATCTCCCAAGAATCCACGGATGCCTGCACAATCCCTTTATTGTACACTCCTACATGTACGAAACCCCATCTATAGCCATATATTACAAGACACGACGCTATTCCAGAAGAGCAACCGGTGCACGAGGACATGAACTCATCCACATCTCCTGAAACCAAACTGATGGCTCGGGCTGAACCTCGAACGATGGTAACAACAGGTACTAGTATTGAGCCAACACAAATGCTGCCGATTGAATGCCTGATTGTGCTTAGGAAGATTGTCTTGGAATCAAGCCCTATTCCAATTGAAAATTGCACATATTTTATGTGTGATACTGTTACTTGCTGTATGTTCTTAATTACTTGCATAGTCCACACGAGGCTTAATATGATCAGAAAAATGAATAGGTTGTCAAGCCAAGATTTCTCAGCTGTAGCTCCTCCAATGCCTGATATCAGTAAAGATGAATACAGAACACACATGACAACTGAAAGGAGTGTCATGGCAGTGGCGTGTGGAGGAGGGAAGGCAATAGCAATTGATACTACTCGAATAGCATGCTCGATTCTGTGATTGACCCAACACGAATAGAGGGATTGAATGACAGCAGATATAGGACAAGCGATACCCAGGACCAAACTTCCCACTGTGCCTATGGAGATGAGCAAAACACCAACTGCACAATTGAGAAAAGGGCTAAGCCAAAATGCAGCTCGGATAGCTCTTGACGGCTGGCTGAAAAGGAATGCCTGAAAGGTAAAGCTGATAATTCCAGCACAAGCTGTTGAAGCAAGTATTGGCAGGTACCATTTCTTTGGCTGGAAATGATGTGTGTTTTCAGCACAAATGATTCCTCGAACAGTTAAAAAGATCGCCAGAACGGAAGTGAGGAAGATGTGCACAACGAAAATATATTGGAAAAAAAGCCCCTTTGTGTCCTCATGGCATACTATAACTTGCTTAACCTGTTCTTGGAATTGAAAAATAAAATAAAATGTCAAATTGAAGCAACTGCTAACCAAGATAACTTGACAAGGGAAATCAAGAAACAGAACAACCAAGAAATGGAGTTTAATTTTTGGGAAAATGGTATTGTTAAAGAAGAAAGATGAGAAGATTCAAGTATTGCCAAGTTAGAGACCTTAATTCTTGATCCAAGCCTCAGTTTTTAGTCTTGGCTACTGAATTGCTTGGAAAATGAAAAATAAAATTTGGAACAATCTGTGGCTCCGTGTTGTTCTCTTATTGATATGCTGGGAGAACTAATACAGTAATCTGCAGAAATTTTTTCTTTTTTATACAAATTTTTGGCTTCTTTCATTTGCTTGGCACTCACGATTTTGGTAGAAGAGGATCACAAGATTTTTCAAATTTTTAATTTTATTTCAATTTGGGATCCTCTTGAAGCCATAATTATAAACACTAGTTCCCGTGTGAATTGTCACAAAATGTTTCAGAATAATATACTAAAAACTATTTATAATGAAATTACAAAAATATTGTAAATTTTCTGACAAGAGAAGTTAAATATTCAGTATCTACTATTTATTTACATACCCGCTTTTCTACCTTTCTATATATATTTTAGATAATGGCATGTAGCTAGTTTGGGTATTATGAAAATGCAAAAATCTTATGTTAATACTATTAAAATTAAACTCATTATTTTGATTTTTAAGTTCAAAATAAGTAATAAGTTGTTATTTTTGGTGAATACTTAGAATCTCAAAATGCATAAATTAATAATCACCATATTTGTATCGCGCCTCCCGAGTCCAGCATAACACCCCGGTTGTATAAATATGTACATACAAGGAATTTCTAGAAAAAAATATATGAAAATCATTATTGACTTTATTTCGTCTTCTAATCCCCATATTATAATTTAATATAACTTGTTCACAAGCCAAACTAAATAAATTGCATCCGTTCACACTACAGACATACAACCCTTATTTAGTACAAAGTTTGTCAGAGGAAAAAACTTATCTTCTACAGAATCAACGCATAGTTATAGAAGCAAATTTAGAAGGTCACAAATTTTGCAGTAGCTTTAACTCACTCAACTTCTTGGAAGGTACATCTTTCAGCCCTTTGTAGGTTTTTCTTCTAACAGTAATATATTTCTTTCACTTTTAAAAAAATAATGAAAAATCAAGCAATTATATCAAATATTTACCAAAGTGGCTAATAAGAGCTACCAACAGAATCTAGGAAATAACCCGCAAAAAGCCATGCATAAAACTCACAATCACAGGTAGAGGCGAAGCCAGAATTTAAACCTTATGGCTTCGGGATTCTAGCCCGTTTATGCTATTGGGTTCTAAATTAATAATTTATACATATTCAATGGATATCTTAAAGCAAATACATGATTTGGATAAAAGTTACTGGGTTCGGTCGAACCCGCAAGACCTATGCTAGCTCCGCCCCTTATCACATGCACTGTCTTGTTGTAGCAACTTGTCGAAGATCGATTAAGCTATAAAATTCATAAGATATTATTGTTAGAATATACTATAAACCATGCGTATTGTTATAGTATTCTTTATGAACAATTATTTATTTACTTGTTTAAATTCAATAAAGTTTCATTTTAAATAGATCATGTGTTGGTTTGTGCGTCCATTGCTTACATAGTAGATGATTTAGTGTATAAAGTTTAGCTTATACACGGAAGATTAAATCATCGGTTCTTGTAAGACATAAAAGTTAATGTTCACAATCTAATGATGGAATTGGACAAATCATCGGAATGATTGTAGCACAAGATTAAATATAATTTATCTTGATTATGGGAATGGTTTAATTCCAACTTCTTGTGCTAGTACATTTTGTATGTATTGAACGGATCAAGTAGAGATGAGTATTTTATACTGACTTTATAAAATAATTTCTCTAGTCCATTTAATGTACTTATACTCTTAATCCTGATATAATTATTATTAGCTGTGTATGTCACTTGTTGTTTTGATTTATTAAAAGACGAGATTCTTTCGTGAGTCAATAAGCCTGGTAAATTGGATAACAATGATATACATTGGCAAAGTAATAATTAGTTGA